TATGACCGAAGTGATATTACCTCAAGTCATAAATTGCAGCAAGGAATGGTCGTTTGAATTAATGTGCAATGTGTTTGCTGCCGAGAAGGATAAGAATCATGATAATGGGGAGGGTTCATGCCGATTGACTTATACATATTGAAGAGATAGAAAGTACAGAGCTGTAAGTCATCTGTGTGTTTAGTGTAGCAAAGTGGTTAGAAGTGATTTGGTATGATTTCACAGTGGTAGGGATATTGACAAAAGTTATTATGTGTTGGTGATCCAGGGATATATTGCTTGCCCTTTTTTTTGTATATGAGATTTCTACAGCAGAATGCATGCTTTTTATTTATTTTTTCCTGACATTTTAACTAACAAAACTATTTATCATAAAAAACTGGCCGACGCATTCCATCGACTTGATTTAGACATTGCTGGTTTTTGTTTTCTCAGCCAGGGATCCATCGCCTTTGGTGTCACTATGGTTTTTGGTCTAAGGCAATCCAAATTGGGGTTTTCTTATGAAATCTCTTGATGGCTTCCATTTTTACCATAGATAATTGGAGTCAGGTAAGCGTTCTTTGGTTTTTTCATGTTCACTCTAGTGGCATCATGTTGCATGGCAATAGTGGCTATATTTAAGGCTAATGGCTTGGTTTGGACTATCCATTATAGTGTTTATGTTTTACTGTTTCTTTTATAATGCAATGGGATAATGACTTTCCATCATATTATTATATATGGTGTTGTTGACCTACATCTGGCCATCGCCTCATACATGTTAACGAGTAATATAAGTTAGAATCAAAGAGTAAATTTCCGAGACTACGTGCAGCCAAGTAGGGTATCCGACCGCCCCCGACCCAGTCAACGCGGGGAATCCCCGCTTTGACCGGGTATGGGGCGGGTATGGGGCGGGTATGGGTAAAACCCGCAAAAAGTTTGATGGGTATGGGGCGGGTATGGTTTTAGCCTCCCCCGCCCCATACCCATCCCCATACCCGCCCTACCCATCCACATACCCGCCCCACCAAGATAATTTCTTCATATATAAAAAAAATATGTGCATCAAATTATAATCTATCAATGACGATGAGGATAACTTGAGAAAATAAATAGTACAAATGCAATTGAGTGACCATCTTAATCAAAATCTAATCATTTCTCTCAATTCTCATTTCACTCTTTCACTTTCCCCCTTGTCAACAAGATTATGTTAGTTAATTATTATTTAGTAGATGTATCAGAGTTAGAACATAATAATTTGAAAAATATTATACTCTATATTATGTATTAATGGACAATCTTTGAACCATATTAAAAAAAATGACCGTGTTTTGTCGACTTCATGATATAATATGTTCGTTTAGAGTTATAATTAGAACTTTTCTTGTAAGTTTTAGATATAATAATGTTGGATGTACGGGTATGGGTATTACCCATGGGTACCCGAAACCCACGGGTATGGGGATGGGTTTGCAAAACATTCTCCGCATGGGTATGGGGCGGGTATGGGTTTGGGTATTTGAAGTGGGTATGGGGATGGTTTTAGCAAACCCGCCCCAAACCCGCCCCATTGCCATCCCTACAGCCAAGGGGTCGGGTAAAAAGCTAGTATGAATTATTGTGAGAGCTTTGGTCTTTGATTCTCTATTTGATAGAGTTTATTAATGTAGGATGAGAGCATAAAGATTGATTGATTCGTTTACTGAGTATCTACACAATAAACAAAAGAAGATACACAATCATGCTGATGGGGCTATGCTATGTACTTCAGAACTTGCTTGGGAGGCTGAACATGAGCCTATTGCATTTCATCTAGATTTTCACGATCGTTTGGATAAGTTATCTGTTGGGATATGGATTAATATGCCTACACGACTATAAACGGGCCCAAGCCCACCGCAAGGCGTCCCGGGCCCAACCCCACTTAAGGAGGCCCAAGCTCTATATAAGGAGGCCAAAGCCTCCAAGCCAGGGGATTCTCTCTTCTGGCCACACACTCTTACCCTAAGGTCTCTCTCTAAACTCTCTCTCTCTCTCTACATACCATAAACCGCTTACTATATCGTACTAACTTAGGCGTCAGAGCGTAGATCCCGGGGGCCGCCCCCGCCTCACAGGTTCTTCCACTCTCGAGGAGATCAGACGAGGTAGTCCAGATAAGAGCCCCATAACCGCCTAGTACATCCTAGGCTCAAACAATTGGCGCCCACCGTGGGGCCAGATTCTGGTATTCACTTCGTTCGATTTCTAAGGGGGGGGGGGGGGGGAATTGATCCTTCCTCAAGTACAAGTAACTGCAGCGACCCGCGATAAATTCACAAGAGCAAAAGAATAAGGCTTCGTCCCAAGGAAGAGGAGAAGCAATCGTGCAGCGATGGGAATCAAAATATAATAAAGAAGAAAGAAACAAGGTAGAAGCGGCAGCAACAACCAATATTGGGCAAAGAAAGTATTAGATCTGAAAAATAAAGAGGCAAACAATATTACGCAAGCACAACCCACCACCTTCACCTATCACCACTGCTGGCGAAGCTCGCCATCACCAACTCGGCCGGAAAAGAACAAGGAAGAAAGCTACAGAGGCGGCAAAATTCGGCCAAAATTACAGGAGGATCTTGCCCAAATCCAAAGAGAGCTGCGAAAAGAATCAGAGAAAAAGATGGATCTGGCGAAAGTGAGGACGTACACTTTTTCTCATTCCCTATCAAGACTAGAAGCGATGTATGCGTCCTCGGCATCAACCACTCCACCGTGACGTCCACAATCCACAACCTTTATACCACCACCACCACCAGTAACGATTTCGATCGCCGACGGTGATTCGACACCGGAGCTCAGACGAGAACAGGAAGAGACCTTTCAGTCTCATCACAGGTCGCGATCACGTCTTCTCCCACTCTTCCCCAAAAGTCACTGACAACGGCTTTTCTCTCTTGGGAGGAGCAAGCGTACGAATTTCCCGACTCCCGAGGCAAGCGTAGTTCCCAAGGAAAGTGGAAAGCATAGTTCAACAGAACCACCGAAGGAGGAAGAAGAAAACAAAGGCGTCCAACTCCCGAAACTTAAGCGAAGGAGCAAGGAAGGCGCACCCAACCGCCAACCAGCATCGACAAGTGAGACATGTTAACGCATTGGTGTGAGAAGCTTAATAATGAGAAGGAACCCAGAAGCAGAGGCGCGAATTCAAAGACCATGCTGAAAGAAGAGAAAGGCTTTTCGATCCAAAAACATGGCGCCCTTATGAATACGACGCGAAGTAGAGTAATTGAAGCAGCGAGCGTAGGCAACCAACGCCTTAGAGAAATAATGCCCAACCATTAAAATGTCTACCGAAGCCTTCCATCCTACTGTCCAAGTTGCCTGGTGTCTGATGAGGAACGCGCAAGAAGAAGAACGCTCATAAGCACGAACTGCAAGAAGGGAGCGCCCATGAAAAAGGACGCTCCTAAGCGTGATTGAAAGAACTCCCACGAAGACAGACGCATGACTTATGTAAACATGGGCCAGCTAGTCAATAACCACCCCATCTCACCATTCGGCTATCCCGGACCTCTCCTCGTCCGACACCCACCAAGTCAGGACAACATTCCGTGCGGGGCCACCTCCAAGCCCGATTGCATCACAACGCAGCCCACCTTATTCAGCCCATTTTCGCAGAGCAAACACCGCCCCTGACTTGGGAACCGCTTCCCGTCCACTTCGTCAAATGCGGCTCGCTTCCAAGGCCCGCGCGTTCCCCCACAATCAGGCCCATTTTCGATCACTATCGGGCCCATGCCATCATCATTGAAGCACGTTGACCAGTACGCCACACGCATCACACGAGCCCGCCTCCTTGTCCAAGGCCCACTTTCCTTGCTCAGGATAGCCCAATGTAGTCGCTCGCCGACCGCATGTATTTCGAGGCCCACTCACTTTCATTGCTCAGGATAGCCCATTGGAGGATAGACCCAACATTCACTAAAAAAGATTAGAATGCATCCAACAAGGTTTGAACCCAGGTCCTTGCTCTCACCAAGCTAAACCGCATGCCACAACACTACAAGAGCGCTTCGTAAATCAAGACCCGACACACAATACTTGGCACCCATCTCCGACACAGCTCACATTTAATGCGCCCCCTTGACGGACTAAAGTCCACATCCTCTAGGCCCACGCCTCCACTCTCTGCATCATGCTCAAAGTCAAAGGAAGGCAGAAAGCACATTCAGTAAAAAGAAAGAAAATGCACATTGGACAGGATTTGAAATTATGTTCTTCTCCTCATAAGCTCGGACGCTGACCAACAGACTACAAGCTAAGTTATGCTTCCATTTTAAAGCGCCCAGAATTCACTCCTAGTCGCTGTTTTTCTCACTCCCAAGACATGTCCTCCTCCGGGCCCAGCTTCAGCGGCCCGCGGCCCACCTCGATGAGCCCACCAAACATGTCAACCGTCCCTGGACTCAGCTGGTCCACCAAGCTCGGCCCGAGCTTCAGCGGCCCACGCCTCATTAAAAAATGAGTTATGGAACCGCCTCCATTAAAAAATGAGTTATGGACTCAGCTGTTTTTCTCACTCCCAAGACATGTCCCCCTCCGGGCCAAGCTTCAGCGGCCCGCGGCCCACCTAGATGAGCCCACCAAACATGTCAACCGTCCCTGGACTCAGCTGGTCCACCAAGCGCGGCCCGAGCTTCAGCGGCTCACGCCTCATTAAAAAACAAGTTATGGACCCACCTCCATTAAGCGTCGAACCAGTGACCTCGCTTTTGCATGCAAGCGCTTCAACCAGTAGACTACATGACCGCTTTGTTAATCAAGGACGCAACAACCAATATTTAACCGCTCGCCAACTTCCCTCAAGCTAAGTCAACTTTACATAGATATCTTATACCAAGCTATGCAAAGCGGTTCATTACTATTATGCTAGGCGCTCACTATGCTATATTCATACATTAAATATATTGCACCCTAACCACTTGCATCTTTCTCGGATACTTAAAGAATTACGCATCATGCCTCCAGGCTAGGCTCGAAGATTCCCGCCTCCGAGCGATGCTCCCTCCGGAGAATGCTTACCGCCTCCGAGCGATGCTCCCTCTCGGGAATGCTTCCCGCCTCCGAGCGATGCACCCTTGGGGGATTGATTCATGCCTTCCGCCTCCGGGCAAGGCTAAAATACCGCCTTTGAGCGATACACCCTTCGAGGATTGATTCATGCCTTCCGCCTCTGAGCAAGGCTCTTAAACCGCCTATGAGCGAGGCTCCCCCCGAGGAATGCTTCCCGCATCTGAGTGATGTTCCCTCTTTCGAATGCTTTCCCTCTTCCGAGCTATGTTCCCTCATTGGAATGCAATGCGCTTCCCGAATGAGCGAAGGAGCGATGCGCTTTCCAGGAAGCCTAAGAAGCAATGCGCTTCTCAGGAAGTCGAAGGCGCGAGGCGCTTCCCAGGAATCCGAGGAGCGATGCGCTTCCCAAGAAGCCGAGCAGCGACGCGCTTCCCAGGAAGCGAAGGAGCAATGCGCTTCCCAGGAAGCCGAAGGGGCGAGGCGCTTCCAAGCCGAAGGCGAGAGGTGCGATGCGCTTCCCAGGAAGCCGAGGAGCGGCGGGCTTCCCTGGAAGCCGAGGAGCGACGCACTTCCCAGAAAGCCGAGCAGCGACGCGCTTCCCAGGAAGCCAAGGGAGCAATGCACTTTCAAAGAAGCGGAGGAGCGATGCGCTTCTCAAGAAGCCGAGGGAGCAATGCCCTTCCAAGGAAGCGGAGGAGTGATGCACTTCTCAGGAAGCCGAAGGCGCGAGGCGCTTCACAGGAAGCCGAGGAGCGATGCGCTTCTCAGGAAGCCGAGAGAGCTATGCGCTTCTTAGGAAGCAACGGAGCGATGCGCTTCCCAGGAAGCCGAAGGCGCGAGGCGCTTCCCAGGAAGCTGAAGGAGAAGCGCACCCCAGGAAGCCGAAGAAGCACTAAGCTTTCCAGAAAGCTTAAAGACAAAGGCGAAGTACTAAGCTTCCTAGAAGAGAACAGTGATCTTGCCTCACACAAGTAAGACATTAACAAGACACATGAATTCCTAAAAACATGGACGCGATATTGGTGAGACACGAAGCAAGAGCGTCTTGAGTTAAAACTCTCAAGCCGTAGGGGCCACCTTACCTAGGTCGCAATTATGGTCCAGTAGCGCTAACAACAATGGACTAGCGAAGGAACTCTTAACGACTTGAGAGATTTGGTTCAAGACATCGAAAGTCAAGCAAGGGGCAAAGGAAATGATCACACAACTCGCGCAAGGGGCAAACCGCATCATCCAGATTCGTAAGTAAGGCAAATTAATACACGATTAACGCATTATGTTACTCCTTCCATTGTTACAGAATACAAGAAGTAAAGGGGCAATTGTTGGGATATGGATTAATATGCCTACACGACTATAAACGGGCCCAAGCCCACCGCAAGGCGTCCCGGGCCCAAGCCCACTTAAGGAGGCCCAAGCTCTATATAAGGAGGCCAAAGCCTCCAAGCCAGGGGATTCTCTCTTCTGGCCACACACTCTTACCCTAAGGTCTCTCTCTAAACTCTCTCTCTCTATATACCATAAACCACTTCCTATATCGTACTAACTTGGGCGTCGGAGCGTAGATCCTGGGGGCCGCCCCCCGCCTCACAGGTTCTTCCACTCTCGAGGAGATCAGACGAGGGAGTCCAGATCGGATCCCCATAACCGCCTAGTACATCCTAGGCTCAAACATTATCGACACAAATTATTTTTATCACGATGCACAGAATTGAAGATTGAAGAATGAAGAAGAAGTCGAGCAGAGGTGGTTGTGTGAGCTTGTGTAAACGGAGTTGTTTTCCTCAGAAGCACTGGAGGAGCTGAGCCAAGGCGACGTCGTTGCATTAAGAAACTACCATTTCCATTATTACTGTAGATAGCCAGCTATCTTCTTATTATTGGTTGTAGTTTTGATTTGTTACCATTAAACAGAGATTAGGAACTGTACAACCTGTTTGATTGGAGTATATATACAATCCCTTTGAGGCACCAAAACCCTCGTGTTTTTCATCCAATTCGTATTATCATAGCCTGGTTAAGGTCTCTAGGGTTTCTGTACCAATACCATACCCGGAGTCTTGATTTTAGGTAGTCTTTAATCACAATGGCTACTATTCCTTCTTCCAATTCTTCTTCTACTACTAGTACTTCTGGTGCTCTTTCTGCTATGAGCACCGTTACCAATCCCTACTATATCAACCCAAATGAGTCATTGGTGTTTCCAATCAAGCTCACAGGGACGACAAACTACAATCTATGGAGCATAATAGTTCGTGTTGCTCTTAAAAGCAAAAACAAGCTGGGTTTTATCAATGGGTCGATTTCAGCTCCAAATCCATCTGCTGAAGGCTATGAAGTTTGGGAACAAAGCAATACGGCGGTTTACTTCATGATTCTGGGTCCCCTGGATCCAAGCTTGGTTGATAGTGTTTCTTCACGGGATAATCCGAGGCTGCTTTGGGAAGATCTCAGGCAGCATTTTGGACAGACAGACAACGTCTGAATCACTGATTTGCAGACAACCCTTTATACCCTGAAACAAGGTAACAAATCTGTCAATCAATACTTCTCTAAGCTGAAGGGTTTCTGGGAAGAGCTTGTTCAATTTCTCCCTATACCTAATTGTGAGTGTGGCAGTCAGGCACGAAACTCAACTATTCCTTGTGTTACTAAGACCATAGTTAGGAAGTATAGGGAGAATGAGTTTGTCACTCGTTTTATCACTTGATTGAATGATGCTTATGGTGGTGTTTGGACCAATCTGTTTATGATGTAACCACTTCCTTCCATGAAGGTTGCTTTCCACTATGCCATACAACATGAGAGGCAGATTGCCAAACCAAACCCCGAATCTCAAGTGGATTCTATAGCCCTGCTTGCTGCAATCCAAGCTAAAGGGAAAGAGAATGTCAAAGGAGGATTGTTCTATCGATACTGTAAAAAGGACAACCATGTTATTGCTGATTGCTATAGACTGAAAAGGAAGAACAAGGAGCTAGGAGGATCTCATGGGTTTGCTGGACACAACTACAAGGGTTGGATACCTCAGGGACTAATATCTTACCAAAGCCTGAAACTAAGAGTATGCCTAAAGGCAATGATGGATACACCAACATCAGGCTCACCAACGATGATCTCAATCGACTGTAGAGACTCCTTAGTCAGTATAGTCCCCCAGCTTCACCAACTTCACCTATTGCTCCAGGAGGTTCTAATTTGGGTCCTGTCAATCAACAATAATCTCCCATGGTGAACTCCACCAGTAGACATCTCTCTATGAATCCCAACTTTACAGGTAAATTCACCTTAACTACATCCTTCCTCAAGCATCCAATGGAATTTGTTAGTATTTGGTTTCTAGATACAGGTGCCACTGATCATGTTACCTGTTCAATTTATAACTTTATAAGATATAGAACCGTTCAGGGGATACTTATAACCTTACCTGATGGTTCCAAAACTCTTGCTACACATTGTGGTAGTGTCAAACTCTCTTATGGATTAGTCGTTCATGACTTTTTGTTGGTTCCATCCTTTTCTTTCAATTTAGTCTCAGTAAGTAAACTCACTAAGTTTATGCCAATCTCTCTTACCTTTGAATCCAACATTTGTCACATTCATAACCTTCAAACCAGGAAGAGGATTGGTTTTGCCCAAGAGACTAGAGGAATTTATCAACTTACTAGACATCCAGAAGCCACTAATACCCTTGTTAATTCCATCAAGACTCAGAACCTTACACCACAAACACATTGTGAAGCTAGAAATTTAATGCAAAGTTTCTATGTTCTTGTTCAAACAAAGTACAACAAACACATCAAAATCATTTTATCAGATCAGGGAGCTGAGTTCCACATGCCAGAGTTTTATTCTCAATATGGCATCATTCACCAAATGTCATGTGTTGAAACTCCACAATAGAACTCTAGAGTAGAAAGGAAACATCAGCATATCTTGAATGTGGCCAGGGCACTTAAATTTCAATATCGCCTTCCTTTGAAATTCTGGTCATACTGTGTGCTTCATGGAGTTTATCTCATCAATAGATTACCTACATTAGCTCTAAAGAACCAAACAGCCTATGAGTTGTTGTATGATTCACCACCTAATCTATCTGACCTAAATGTATTTGGTTCCCTTTACTATGCTAGCACACCAGAACATAACATAACCAAATTTTCACCACAAGCAAAACCCTGTGTCTTTTTAGGATATCCACCTGGCATTAAAGGTTATAGACTTTATGATCTAACAGATTAAAATGTATTCTTTTCCACACATGTGCTCTTTCATGAGTATATTATTCCTTGCCTTCTCCCTTCCTTTTGCCAATCCTACTGCAGAAAATTCTGCTTCTTCACATCATATGCAAACAATCTTTCCCATTCCACCAACTTATCCAATTCCTCCCCTTGTACCACAGGATTCAGAACCTACACCAGAACCTGTGTCTCCTTCACAACCTACCACTCCTTCTGCACCATGCATCTCTTCTCCTTCTCCTACTCATCTCATCCACCACGGACCATCCATTCTCCTACTTCTCAATCCCTGCCTATTGCTCTTCATAAGCAACCAAGAAATGTTGGACCTCTTATTAAATATCAAGATTATGTCTTGAATCTAAATACCAACACTGAAAAATGCTCATATCCATTGGTTTCTTGCATTTCCTATGATCAACTGTCTGTGGAATATAGGAAGTATGTATGTGCTGCGGATTCTACTTTGTTGGCTCAATCTTTTGAAGAGGCTATGCAGGATGAAAGATGGGGGAATGCTATAAATGAAGAGATAAAAAAAAAACTCTAGTAGCTAATGGAACTTGGAATGTGGTTCATTGTCTTACTGGGAAAGACCTATTATCTTCATATGGGTGTTTACTATCAAGTATAATCCTGATGGATCAGTTGAGAGGTATAAAGCCAAGCTTGTAGCCAAAGGCTTTACTCATATACATGGAGTGGATTTCCTTGACACTTACTCTCCAGTTGCCAAATTGAACACAATCAATACCCTTTTAGCCATTGTAGTTGCCAAGGACTGGTCTATGTATCAACTTGATGTAAGCAATTGATTCTTACATGGGGATCTAGATGAAGAAGTATACATGGACTTACCACATAGTCTCTCTCAAACAGGTCATGTTTGTCATCTAAGGAAGTCTTTGTATGGTTTAAAACAAACTTCCCGTCAATGGTCCTCCAATTTGACTTCAGCCTTACTAAGTTTTAGGTATATTCAGTCACACAGTGACTATTATCTCTTCATTCATCATACTGATCAAGGAACTTCTGTCTTATTGGTTTATATCGATGACATCATTATTGCTGGCAATGATGCTTAAGGCATGGCTGCTTTGAAGACTTTTCTTCACTCACAGTTTAAAATTAGTGATCTGGCAGTCTTCATTATTTCCTTGGCTTAGAGATTGCCAGATCAAAGGGGGGTCTACATATATGCCAACGAAAATATTGCACTGATCTTTTACAAGATATTGGTTTTGCAGACAGTAAACCGGTAGTCACCCCAATTGACATGAAGACCTATTTAACTGCTGATGATGGTCCTTTACTTGAAGATTCTGCATTGTACAGGAAGATTGTTGGGAGACTTCACTACATAACCATAACTCGTCTTGAAATTACCTTTGCAGTACAACAACTCTGTCAATATCAAGCTGCACCAACTGCTTCTCACCTTCAGCTTGCTCACAGAGTTCTTACATATTTAAAGAATGAACCAGGACAAGGTTTACTATATCCATCTCAGTCAAGTCTTCTCTTACAAGGATATTGTGATTCGGATTGGGCATCATGCCCAGATACAAGGTGATCCACAATAGGGTATTGCATTACATTTGGAAAATCTTTGATAATTTGGAAGTCAAAGAAACAAGGAACAGTTTCAAGGTCATCTTCTAAAGCTGAGTATAGAGCTCTTGCTCAGTTTACATGTGAAGTTGTTTGGGTTAAGAGAATGATATATGAGTTGAGTATTGATCATCCACAACCTGTTTCAGATCTTTTGTGATATTCGATATGCTATTTACATTGCTGAAAATCCGGTCTTTCATGAGAGGACCAAATATATAGTGGTCGATTGTCACGTTGTTCGACAATTTCTTCAATCCAAGCTTATCAGTCTAAGTCATCTGGATACAGAGAATCAGATTGTTGATTTGTTTACAAAAGGACTTAGCAGGTTTCGACTCCAGTTCTTGATGTCCAAGCTGAACATACATAATCTGTATGCGTCAACTTGAGGGAGGCTATCACGATTTGCAAATCCGGAGATTCAAGATTGAAGAATGAAGAAGAAGAAGAAGAAGTCGAGCAGAGGTGGTTGTTGTGAGCTTGTGTAAACGTAGTCGTTTTCCTCAGAAGCACTCAGCGGAGGATCCAGGGGGCCGCCCCGGGCCACGGCTCAGCCTTCTTCTGGATTCGAAGCTAGTATAGCACTTATAAAATTTCGATTTTAGGTGTTAGTTTCAGTGTTCGTTGGGTTATGCCCACCCCTTTTCTCCTCTTTTTAAATGTTACCTAGTGCTCAACCCTATCCTGGATCCGCCGCTGGAAGCACTGGAGGAGCTGAGCCAAGGCGACGTCGTTGCATTAAGCAACTACCATTTCCATTATTACTGTAGATAGCCAGCTGTCTTCTTATTATTGGTTGTAGTTTTGATTTTGGTTTGTTACCGTTAAACAGAGATTAGGAATTGTACAACCTGTTTAATTGGAGTATATATACAAGCCCTTTGGGGCACCAAAACCCTCACGGGTTTTCATCCAATTCTTATCCTTTACCAAGATTTCACAATTTTAACTCAACATTTTTGGGTAAATTGCAAGGTTGGTCACTAAGATTACTAAACACGTTCACGTTTAGTTACTAAAAATATTTAAACCATTCGTGATCACTAAAATTAATTGAATACCTCAAGTTCGGTCACTCTCCGTCCAACTCCATTAACTTTTGCTTATGTGGCGGTCAACTCTTATAGTTGACCGTTAAATATATGATGTGGCAGTTAAAAAAGGAAAAAAAGAAAATAATTTTATCTTTTAAATTTTTCACCTCATTATCACTTTTGTTAAAAAATATAAAAAGCTAATTTCTTCTAATCCCCAATACCCTTACCCTATCCTTCATCGCCGAGACACTCCCAGCCGCGCGCGACTTCTTCCATCGTGGGGCTTCCTTCCAACAGGACATTTTGGACATCCCCACCATCTCTGCCATCTTCCTTCCTTTTCCTTTCCTACTACCATTCTGCTCTGCAGCTAAAATCGTTGAATCCTCCGAGAAATCCCTAGCAGCCCCATCCTAGTTGTCGTCTACCTCGACTCTCGCCTCTCCGAGTTCATTTCCTCATCTAAACCGTGCGCTACAACTGCGGCCGTGCCTCCGATGCCGCCATCATCAAGAAGCTCTTGGACGGGGGCAAATATGAGTTGCTGGAGGGAGAGGACTAAATCTCGAGAGGGAAAGGCCGTTCGTTGTGAGCGCGCTAGAGGGGTTCGTCGAAATCGGCAAGGGGTTGTTGATCTTCTTCTTCGACGGAGCTGGAGCAGGATAGTCCGATGATGGTGATAGGGTGGTGGCGGTGATTTCCCCTTCTTTCCCCAAAGCTGGAATTTGATGATTTTGACGAATTGATAGTGGCTATACTTCATTAGATTAATAAGAACACGGAGAAGCAAGTAAAAGACTGAAAAGGAATGAGCACATCAGAAGGTGATGCAAGTTGTTAATTTACCCACTACTAATTTTCTCCTTGACCAATCACTTTCTCTCACATATCAGAACGTTCGGACCCAAGCTCAAATTACCTCCCAATAAATTGGCTCGCTAGAGCTCATATCCAGGAACCCACACAACAACACCGACGAGATACCGCCTGAGCTCGGACTCCTCCGGGAGCCGTGGTCCAAAACTCCATCTCCGGCACAATCTCCGCCTGTTCGAATCTCACCATGTTGCAAGTCGATTACAACGACTTGACCGGCGAAATCCCAATCGAGCTCTGCCATCTCATGAACCTCCATTTGCTTTCAATCCATTTCAATAAAAAATAAATAAATTTTGATGATGATGATGATGATGATGCGGGGGAGGGACGAATCGTTCCCTGCTCGGATTCTTCTCCAACTCGGCTTATTTGTTATCATTCCCCGTCACTACCACAAATGAATTGTAGCACCCTGCAGACCAATTGTCACCGACTTTTGATCCGCCCCCGACACCGAAACTCTTCTTCACCTCGTCGGCTCGTCGATCATCTCCTTCAACACCTACAAATCCATGTTGCATTACTCCAGCGCTCCCAGCAGCTTCCACCATTGCTCCGCCGCCACCACATTGCCCGTCCTCTCTCCGTTGCATTTATGGAAGATTAATCTTATGTTTATTTTTTAATGGTTGTAAAATGAGGTGGAAATTGTAAAAGGTTAAATTTTATATATCTTTTATTTTTGAATTGCCACATCATTTATTTAACCGTTAATTATTAGAGTTAACTGCCACATCAGCTAAATTTAATGGAAGTTAACAGAGAGTAACCAAAATTGAACTATTGAAATAATCTCAAACCAAATATGAACAAAAGTCAGTGAACAAGCTTGCAAATAACCCCCACATTTTTTGAAGACGAGTTATTTCATGTTTTTTTTTGGAATAAGTAACACTGTCCGGTGTGCAGTAAAGTTTAAACTTTGCTTCCACGTCACATCTGCTGACCAAGGTTCGGTTTGCCCAACTCAACAAATATTCAATCCAATCAAATCCTGCCACCTCAAATGTGTTGGGGTATTTTAGTCCTTAGACGGGGGAGATAGAGTGTGGCCGCGGCTTGCAGTGTGGATTGACGTGGCACTTCATCATAATCACCAAAAAATTGGTATATCCCGTTTACAGAAGGAATGTAAATATTTAATTGACTAATAAAAATTTATTTAGTAATTTCTCCGTTCGAGAAAATCACATCATCACTCGTCAAAAATAAATAGCCAGAAAAAGCGTTAAAAAATAATAAAAGTAATAAAAAAATCAGAATAAAGACAAAGTGCCAGAAGAAGCAGAAGAAGAAGAAACATATCAGGATTGATAATGATGACCTCGTCTCATCTGCTACGGGAGATTTGAAAAAAAAAACCTCGCATCCTTCTACAGCTCCCTAATCTCCGCATATATCATCTTCCTGCGAGCTCGTCGGAATCGTTGGCCGGCGTAGGCGAAGGCGGCGGAATTGAATTGAGGCAGGGAAAGATCAAAGAAGCAGAGATGTTGGGATTTGGGGGAAGGTACTATTGGGGGAGAAGGGGAGGGGTTAAGAGGGAAGGGATAGTGGTGGTTTTTGCTTGGATGTCCAGTCAAGACAGGCACGTGAACAGCTATGTCGACCTTTACTCCTCTCTCGGTTGGGATTCTCTCGTTTGCCACTCTCAATTCCTGAACATGTGAGTTGAGCTTCTCTGTTATCAATCCTTCCTTACCCTCAGAATTCTCCTCAATTTTGATTGTGGCTCACTCATCTGCGATGGCGGCGATGATGTTGCTTCTGGGTCTTGCTGATTGATGTTTTTGACTAGATGTTTGCTGCTGAATTGACTTGCTCTATTGTTGGACGGGGGTTCTGGTTGCTGGCTTGAATGACCCCTTTGTTTACCTCTGATGCCTACGATTTCTCGTGGGGTGGTTGAAAGGCTGGGTGAATGCTTTACTTTTGTGGCCTTTTATATCATGGTCCATGATCTTGGCCATCTGAATTGACGGTGCTTTTATTGTTCATTAGCAGTGCAATAACTTGTTAGTTGTCTCTGGGCTAGATGATTCTTCTTTGTTTTGTGAAGCTGGCAGTACTAAAAGGTCCGGCTGTAGTTTATGAGTATGCAGCGTGGTGCCTGATATAGACTCAACACATTCAGGAATACTGATGATCTGCTATTCTCGTTCTGTGCAGGTTCTTCCCTGACAAGGCTGAAAGTTTAGCATTTGAACTTCTAAATGAACTAATTGAGGTAAGCTCTATGCTGGGTTTTGGCATTAACTGTGTTTTTTCTGAGTCTTTAAGAAGAAAAAAAATAGTATTTTCATTAACTATTGTAACTAAATTTTTAATGGGTATACCATGTCTATATGAGGTGGTCGAACTTGATTTTAAGTTGACGAGCAGGGTCATAGGTCTTCAAGTAGTCCTATTTGTTGATACTACTCCATTTGCTATCCAAAAAATTTGCGTGCAGTGTACTTAATTAGCTTCTGAAATCAACTAGGAATTATTTGTAGTTTGGAAATGGATAATAACAATCCCTCTGTTTCTTGTTCCAATTCACAGGAGCTTAAGACTGGACCATGCCCTTTGGTTTTAGCACCTTTCTCCGGTGGTCCGAAAGCTTGCATGTACAAGGTTCTTCAGGCAAGCTCTGAGACTTTTGCTCAATTAAGAATGGCAAAAACAATCTAATTTCTTATGCTCTTCATGAATGAGCACACTTCTTCTGTACATTATGACAATAATGTTCTGTTTCTTTGTGCAGATTCTTGAGGCAAAGAGTGATTCACAATTGAATCCAGTAAGATAGTCATTTCAAGCTACTTCTGTTTTCGTTTCTTTCCTTTTTCTAGCTGATTCTGTTTTTATTTTTCTTTTCCAACACTGCGGTTCCTTTCCATTTCCATGTGATACCCCTTTGCTGTCTATAGTAGATATCTCTTATTGGCTAATGGTCCTGAGTTGTTCTGAAACTAATAGTTATATTGATAGTCATGAGCTGCCACATTATGACTCCTAGTGCATTAGTTTCTGATTGTGCTCTGATATTCATGTGAAGGATGACTGTCGGCTGGTTAGAGACTGTCTGTCGGGCCATATCTATGATTCATGTCCTGTGGATTTTACTAGTGATTTGGGGAGACGATTTGTCGTTCACCCATCTGTCTTGAAAACATCAAATCCTCCTCGGATGCTCTCATGGATTGCAAGTGGTATTAGTAATAGTCTAGATGCTCTCTTCCTCAGCAGGTTTGAAGCTCATCGAGCCGAGTATTGGCAGACCTTGTACTCCTCTGTAGTAAGTAAACATATTTATCGCTCATCTGTCCTGTTTCCTCTAGTTCTCTTCACTATTAATTCAGATTATCATTTTATTTCAGAATATTGGGGCTCCATATCTTTTGTTTTGCTCAGAACAAGACGACCTTGCTCCCTACACTGTTATTCGAAATTTTGCCGGTAGACTACAGGAGCTTGGCGGTGATGTGAAGCTTGTGACAATGAATGGCTCTCCTCACGTAGGTCTGTTTCTAAACTTTGAACGATCTTACGACTCTGCACTGTATGAGTAAATCTATATGAAGTCGCATTGAAAACTGTATTTGCTTGATTGCTTCTGCTTAGTAGAAACTTGAGGGATCTTTCCAATACTTTGATCTGATAATTTTTAACTTATTATTTTCTTTCCATCTTGATGGGACTGGAGAAATTGTGGTTCACTTCCATCTCTCTTTTATTCTTCAGGGTAAAAAAGAAGTGCGGGAGTGGAAACCCCTAAGACAGTTTAAAATTTATGTTTGCAGTTATTCTGGTCTGGCTCGGTTCAGAATAAGACCGAATGGAAAATAAAGGGAAATGAGGATGATAGTCGGATTTTAAGCGCATTGGATAGGCTTTGATCTGGTCCTTTTTTCTCTTTGTATTCAGAAGGAGATATGACCCATAAAAAAAGGTTTATGGATTTGAGTATCATAACTGAATCCATTTATATTTGGTCTACTCTATTCCGATCCAAATGATTACTTTGTCTGGCGCCTAATTCCGCCCACCTATGGAAATTGTTATGGCTCATCCTTTGTCATTTGCACATAGCTTCTGGGATTAGTTTTGATAGACTACCTATAAACCTCAAATCAGTATCAGTTGACTCGATGATCTGTTGTATTGATTGACATGCTTCCTAAGTATCATCATTCGCTTGCTTTGCAGGTCATTATCGGCTTCATCCAGTTGACTACAAGAATGCTATCACCGAGCTTCTCGGGAAAGCAGCTGCAGTTTACTCCAAAAGAATCCGACGACTCGAGGGTGAAAGAATGGGCTTAGATGGTACCCACGAAGACATAAATGACCCAATGTCCGACCTAAGGAAAGCAGCAGCAGGGAGCTCAACGAACGAAAGCTCTCAAGGAGCAAACATTGCCCCACTGGCCGATCATATGTTGATGCAAACCTCGGAAGAGTATTACGACCAAGGTAGAGATGTTGGGTCGACAATGCAAGATCAACGCAAAGAAGGGTTGATACGCGTACGTGGTGGACCTCCGACAATCAATGCTCATGGAGTCCTCGGCCAAGTATTGTTCGACGTTTGCGTTCCTAAGTACGTGGAAGACTGGGACATAAAGTCGTCTGCTGCTTCCTTGAGCAAACATCCCTATACTTCGACTCGGCGACACACAACATTTAACCCCATGAAATGCATGCGACGGTCGAGACTGTGAGCCTACTAAAAAAAAAACAAATGATGGCTAACAATGAGCAGTTGCTGTCTTGCTGACTTGCTGTACCATGTTGTGAAGGGAGAGGTATAGCTGTAATCCAGAACTGGCATGAATCCAGAGGAGGAATAAGTTACCCAGGGAGCCCAGGGTGTTGAGAATATTTATGCCTGTTTATAGATTGGTGCCTGCTGTTTGCTTGAGCAGGTCTCCTGTGTACAGTAGAGAAAGAAAACTGGCGTAGAGAGTTGTTTTCATGAGATCGGAATTGATCAGAATAAACTGATGGTGTCTGAAAGCCATTTCCTGGTGAGAATAAACTAGCCTAAGAGACAGTGAAAAGTCTGGCATCTGCTGGTGCTGGTTAAACTGCAGTTTATTTCATGATTCTATATGTAACAATTTTCCACAAACTTGCTACTGCTTCTATGCAACACCTTGTTCTGTTACTGTATAAGCTGCATCTTTAGTTTGAATCTTCAGTATGACTGTCACCGTTCTCGATACAAAGTACGGTAACCATTCTTATAAAGAGCTTTGAAGCTCTCGAATAGTTAAAAGTAGCTTACTTTCGAATTACAGAGGCAATTTCATCGTATAACCCTTTTGGGATTGATACAGTAACGAAAATTAGTACCAAATTGATAACACTAGAGAAAATAAGGGAGCCAATTCGACATTTCACCAACCTTTTTTCTTCTTGAAAACGAAATCGACGACTCGGGACCGGGCGGAATCGGAATTGGAAAGTGGAACGTGGAAAGTGCTCTCTGTTTCTTTTCGGCTCCGACGACTACGACCGACTAGCTAAGCCGCCGCCCACCCGGCCCTATATAATGAAGGTACTCGTCACCGGCGCCTCTGGTTACCTCGGCGGCCGGCTCTGCCAAGTCCTTATGCAACGAGGCCACTCCGTCCGCGCCCTGGTTCGTCGCACCAGCGACCTTTCCTCCCTCCCCGATCCCGCCGGTGTTGACTTCGAACTCGCTTACGGTGATGTCACAGACTATCGCTCGCTCGTTGACGCTTTCATCGGCTGCACCGTCATCTTCCACGCCGCCGCCGTCGTCGAGCCGTGGCTCCCGGATCCGTCCAAGTTCTTCTCGGTGAGGTTCCGTTGAACTCTGAACTCGATAACAAAAACATTGCGATTGGCACTGGTAATTGTGAATTTCCTGATGATTTCTAAGTAGGTCAACGTAGAAGGATTGAAGAATGTGCTGCGAGCTGCCGGAGAAACAGAATCGGTACAGAGGATCATCTACACGTCGTCGTTCTTCGCTCTCGGGCCGACCGACGGTCATACAGCGGATGAGAACCAGGTAGTTGAATTGAATCGGAAGCGGTTCGTGTCCACTCGATCTTCCTTCTCTCCGTCCGATTTCAATTCGACGCGTTCCTCATTTTGAATTTGTTGTTTGCGAAATTTTTTTGCAGCGCCATCCCGAGGAATTCTTCTGCACCGAGTATGAGAGATCGAAAGCCGCCGCGGATAAGGTTGCTTTGAAGGCTGCTTCCGACGGTGTCCCGATTGTCTTGTGCTATCCCGGTGTGGTGTATGGCCCCGGAAAGCTCACTACCGGCAATGTCGTGGCTAGATTGGTAAGTTCTGGTAGCTGAATTCCTGTGGTGATTAGTACGTTGCGGTTAGAATGTGCGTGAAATTAGGGTTTGGAATTGAAATTGGATTCAACTGGAAATGTGGTCTAGCCTAGTCAATGTATGTCAATGCCGCCTCTTCTGAGGCTCTCTGCTAGTCAAGAACATCCTTTTCTATAGAAGAACTAAGTCGAACCCAAATTAGAGCTAGGTATGGATGGGTGGCATGCTGTGACAACTGATTTGAGAATGATGGCCAATGTGATTTCTGTGGACATTTCCTCCCTTGGAGGCCACAATCCAGCATCCAAACCCCTTAGTAAAACTGAAGCTTTCTCCTATATTTAGCAAGTATTAGAGTGGCTCGAATCAAATTGGAGTCAACTGGTAATGTTGTTTAGCCTAGTCAATGTGGTCCAGCCTAGTCAATGAATGTCAATGCCGCCTCTTCTGAGTTTCTCTGCTAGTCAAGAACATCCTCTTCTGAGGAAGAACTGAGTCGAAGAGCTCGTATGAATGGGTGGTATACTGCCAAGGTTATTTCTGTGGACATTTCCTCCCTTGGAGGCCACAATCAATCATCTAAACCCCTTAATAAAATTGAAGCTGTTCTCGTGTATTTAGCATGCACTAGAATGGTCTGGATCAAATCACATGCACTTGTGTCGATGAGCAAATCAGGATCAGTCGATGATTCAGTTTATGGTATACCTTTTCGTTCTGAACCTGGCAAACATTTCTGGTTCAGCTTATTGAGCGCTTCCAGGGGCGTTTACCTGGATACATTGGTTCTGGGCAAGATAGATGTTCTTTCAGTCACGTTGATGATGTAGTGCAAGGTCACATAGCAGCAATGGAGAAAGGCCAGCTTGGCGAAAGATACTTGCTAACGGGAGAAAATGCATCGTTCAAGCAAGTTTTCGATATGGCTGCAGTCATCACAGGAACAAGCAAGCCAAAGATAAACATTCCTCTATGGGCCATCGAAGTCTATGGATGGGTGTCGGTTCTGGTCTCTCGGATCACAGGAAAGCTGCCTCTAATCAGCCCCCCGGTATGATGCCAGCAGCCTTGTAATGCCTACTTCAAATAACGTTTTGAACCTGTTCTAATGTCTGTTCCTTTGTTCTGTTTTCTGCAGACTGTGCGTGTTCTGAGACACCAATGGGCATATTCCTGTGAAAAGGCGAGAAACGATCTGGGTTACAATCCTCGAAGCTTGAAGGACGGATTACTGGAGGTGCTTCCCTGGCTGAAGAGCTTGGGGGTGATTAAGTACTGACTGTTATTAAACTCCCATAGAAGTGAAATCCTGAGCTCGGGTAAATGATCTCCCGCTAAAATAAGCTGAATAGAACTAGTGCATTCAGATTATAAAAAATGCAGTTGATGTCTAACCACTTTTACGTGAACAGAATAAATATGTTGGTTAAAATGTATTTTTAGTTATATGTGGATGAAATTATATCAAAACTTCAGGTTAGTATTTTGCCTCAGAAAAATTAACCATGACTGCAATTGTAGAAAGACGTGAAAGCGATTCTATGAATTATGGTTGTTTGGTACCGGATTATGGGATATGATGAAAATTCTTTAAAAAATCCTTCGAGTTGGTGAATGTCATATCTATTCTTTGGTTCAATATGTGGATGATAGTTAATTTTATTTATTTATTACGGATATGACTTTATGATAAGTGTTGAAATTTATAAACAATTACTATGCTTGCTCGGGAGTAAAGTGACAATTTTAAGTCGATGTTGGAGTTCGGAAAGACTTCATTTTTAGAGTAAGTTACAATTTTAATTTGAGTACAAGATTGAATTGAAGTATATATACAATTGGATAATAGTATTTTGTACCTCTCAATTTTTGCAAATTAGCAAACGTACCGCTCTACTAAATTTCTTCACAAACATATCATTCTATTATTAAAACGTAACAATTTTACCCTTTCGTCTAATTATTTGTTAAGTGGCCGTTAAATGAGTTGAAAATTACCCAATTATCCCTCATTTTGTTTTAATTATTTTTTTTTTATCTCAAATTAATTAAAAATTAGGGTTAATACCTTAATATGACCCGAACTGTACTCAAATAATCAACTTTGGTCCGTGATTTCAGAAATTGCTATCCTAGCCTCAATGTTACACCATACAGATTCAATTGGCCGGACGTGTGGTTTGACCATCAATTTGGATGGTCAACGGTCCAGCTCACCGCCATGTCATCACAAAAAAAAAATCAAATTACTTTCTTATTTTCTTAATTTTGTTTGATTTATGATTTTTTACCATTATTTATATCTTATTAGATAAAGGAAATAAGAAATAATTTGCACTTTTTTATAATTTTTGTGATGACATGGCAGTGAGCTGGATTGTTAACCGTTAGTCAATGGTGTTGACCAGACGGTCAAACTACGCGTCCGGCCAATTGAGTATATATGATGCCTGGTTGAAGTCAGAATAGCAATTTCTGAAACTACGAGACAGAATTAGTTATTTGTGTATAGTCGGGCCTAACCCTAAAAATTAAAACAAACCCCTATATTAATTCCATCCGTTCGACAGGAAACATTCTCTCTCCTTCAAAACCCCAACTCCTGAACCTGCAGTCTCCCTGAAGTTCCCCGACTCGGCGTTGTAGTTCCCTTCGCCTGAAGTATCCCCTGAACTCTTCGCTTTCTTTCTTCCCCCCCCCCCCCCCCCCCCCCCCCCCCCCCCTTCTCGTTGTTGTAGTTCCCTTCGCCGCCATGCATCGGCGGATCTAGGGTTGGGCCAACCCGGGTCACGGCCCAGCCCTCCGTCGGATCCAGAGCTAGTTAGAGCTTATAAATTTTTTGATTTAGGTATTCGGCCCAGTATTATTTAATGGTCGGTCGAGTGTTATTTGATAATAAATTATGTGTAGTTATAAAAATGGTATAGATGAACATATGCAAATCATTGCTCTATCTAATGGTATAGATGAACATATGCAAATCATTACTCTCAATTTAGTCTAGGAATTCTAGCCCAAATGATTTTCATTTGAAAAAAAACAATAAAACCTAAAAGTCTAAAATGTAAAAGAGTGTATAAAGTTTCATTGAAATAAGAAAACCCTCTAAACAAATTGATTTGTGGGTTGATTCGTCTAGTGTTGACCTTGCCCATGGATAGAACATTTTAAGCAATGAAATATGTGAAAACTAATTTTGAGTAAATACAATTTATCAGTCAAACCTTTTAGACTTTCCAAATTATTAGCCAAACCTTTCGAAATACAAAATATTAGCTAAATCTTTTGTAACGCATCAAAATATTAGTCACTTGTCTGTTATCTTTGGTAATTTTTTAATTATTTTTTATTTGAAATACTAAAATTTAAAAATATTGATTATTTTTGTTTACGGTATATAA